AAAGCCATCCTTGTTTGATTTTTGTTTTTCTCTACACAGTTGGATGCTATACAAAATATGTAGTCTGACCTATGTCTCTGATATTAGCACCCTCTCTACAGAGATGTATAGCCTTACTCATTTGTAGTTGCAAATGCAATCCTATATATACTTTTATATAGTTTGTTCTTTATATATATATAAACAGCAGTTTGCTCTGTTATAGTATGTTCAATTGTTAACAAGTCATATTAGCACTATACTTTTATATAGTTTGTTCTCTACACAGTTGGATGCTATACAAAATATGTAGTCTGACCTATGTCTCTGATATTAGCACCCTCTCTACAGAGATGTATAGCCTTACTCATTTGTAGTTGCAAATGCAATCCTATATATACTTTTATATAGTTTGTTCTTTATGTATATATATAAACAGCAGTTTGCTCTGTTATAGTATGTTCAATTGTTAACAAGTCATATTAAATAAACTATAACTTATTAACGAAAAAAATCACAATATTTATTGTGTCTAATGTGATATTTTATTAAAGGATTATTTTATTTCTAATTTAACCACTTTTCTTAAAAATGAGATCATCAGCAATCTATTCCTGTAAAATTTTTATAAAATATGTTTAATAATTACTTAACCTTTTTACGAATAATTTTTTTTTTATGTTCAATGGTATTTTTTTATGTTTGATTCAAATAAAATATTCATAATAAAACCTATTTTTAAAATATTATTAATTGTAGTTAAAAATAACAATTAAATAAAATAGAGTGACCATAATAGTGATAATAATAATTATAAAATAATAATAATAAAAATAACAACATTAATAATAATAATGATAATAAAATTAAAAAAATATTTATAAAACTAGAAATAAATCAAAGTACTTGATTTTATAGTTTATTTATATAGAAAAATGTTATTTTCATATGTGAAAATAAACTATTTTTTATTTTAAATTTATAAATTAATATTTTAAAAATATTTTATAGCCGGTTATACTTTTAATTTCTTTTATCAAACTTAAAATTTTTTATTCCCTTATTACTTTCTTTGTAATGTTAAAATCTCACTGCTAAAGCACTACTTGAAGGTAATTGGTAATTTTTTAATATTATCTCTCAGTATTAATTTCTCTAGTTTTCTTATAATTCTTATTTTATTTTCATATTCATTTAATTCCTAATTCCTAAAATCTCACTACCAAGCACTAACATGAATAAGATTAAAGCTTTACATTTTTGTATCATATATCGCATCAAAACCCATTGTACAGTCTCTATTATCTTTTCCCCCTCTTTAATAATTAAATCTCATATTTTAATAACATTTTATCTCATTTATTTATATTTATGACTTATATAATTGTAAAAATATTAACAAAATTAGATTTTTTTAAAAGATTATGGACACAAGATAAAAAATTATTTTTTTTATCTCATTATTAGTAGATAGGTAGAGATTAGGTAATTACTTTTTCCCTCCTTTCTTTTTTTTCGTTTTGGATTTAGTGGAAGAGTTAGGTAAATAAAGTTGAAATGGCTGTGCTATAGTTAATCAGTATCTACTTTATCCATCTCACTTACTAATGAAACCTCCTTTTATCATTCTTAGCACAAGAAATAAAAAAGTAACATGTAGTTTTGGAGCTTCTTGTGCCACTTAATTATTTTTCTTCTAAAAGGAAATAGTGGCAAAATTGCAAATTCAGTGGACGGAGAAAATTTCAAAGGGCATGATATGATGTTTATATGAGGTTATCTTTTAAAAAAGGAAAGGTGCATGAGCTTCAATATGCATCCAAGTTGCTAAATAATCATCCACACATCCAAGAATGATAGGAAGAAGAAAAAGAAAACAAAAAGCTTCACTTAGTTATATCATAATCTGCAAAAGCTTGTCTTCCACTATCACTACCCTTTAAATAAACTAAATTTTCAAAAGGCAACAAATACAAATGATTCAAAAGGTGTTGTCACGGGAGTGTATGTCACTGGAACATGGCCACAAAATCAAAAAGATGCAAAAATAAAAGGAAAAAAAGCTCTCAAGGTAACCTATTTCCGTGCCTAGTATTCGTATAGATCGAACACTTTCTTGTCAGAATCTTCAAAAGTAACAAGCAAAATTTCCCAAACATATATTCGAGGGCCAATTACATATACTATACCCATTTGTTTTTCGCCCTTTACTTATTAGATGGCAGTTACATTGTCAATTAATTTAGCTAGAGTATTCAAACGATTGACATTGAGGAAATTGATAATGATGTTGATTTTATGTCTGTTCATAGCATCTTTCATGGAACAAGAACTGTAAGCATGCCCACATGCTGGTTAGGATTTTAATTAATAAAATTGTAGTCTTAAAAATTATTAATATCAACATTATAAATTAATATTAATAGTTTATGATTTCTTATTCTAATAATTAATACGATATGTCAATAATATATGTATATTCATTTTTTATATTAATAAAACTATTTAATAATATTTAAAAATATTGTTGATATAAACCTACAATTTTATATTAATAATTTAATTTTTGTTGAACAACAAAATATGCTAATAAATACAAAATCTAATGTTCAACGATTAACATAGAGCATTTTTTAAGCTGACATTGAAAATTATTTGGTAATGATTCAAATTAACAAAAGAGGTGAAAAGATACTTGTTAATTAAAGCCTAAATACAACCTCATATACGCTGTATATACAGAAATTTTCAGTATAGCATGGAAATTATTTTCTCAATGTCCTGCTCATGAACAGATGATACTTTTTTATACGTTCATGTACTTTCACCATAAACGTAGAACCGTATTGAGACGTGATATTGATAGAGAAAATAACATTCTGACGATATGCTTCCATCATAAACAAAAGGGGTTAAAAAAGAGAGAAAAGAGGTAGCATATGTATGTCAGCATGTGTGAGCATTTTGTCTAATTAACAAAGATGCCCTCACAAATGTTGTCGGTAAAAATCATTTAATTGGCTCCACCCACCTAATCATCGATCACTTCTTTCATCTTAAAAATACAAAAAATACGCCATAATTTGGCATTCAGCAGCGTGGCATCACTTTTGTACGTTTCTTGATAGCTATAGATTTGAATTTTGTACAAAATAATATGTACCAAGTTTTTTCATACAGATAGGTATACGGAACTCATGGTCGTGGGAATGTATGTCACATATCACCTAGAGAGTCAAATTTTACGAGTATGAAAACATTAAATGCTATATCACAGAGTTGAGGCTTCATGTATAATTATTATTCACTAATAATGGTTGTGAGAATTAATGAAGTGTGTATCCACCAATTGTTATAATGTCACTAGACTCGTGGATGAGGCTTTATTTTGGATGATAGAGGAATATATATACTTAATCACATTTATAATCTTTTAATTTTAACATAAATTTTTTTAAATTTACTTGCTTATATTTATTTTCTTATATTTTCTTATCTTAAAGTTTTACAATATGAAATATTATTAATTTTGTATACATTAAAAAAATAAAATATTTAAATAAGAATAATGAATATTTAAATATAATAAAAAGATTTTTATTTAATTATTTTAGATACTTTTTCTTTACAAATATGTACATCTCAATGATGTATATCATCTTTATTGTATTTTTTTAATTATTAGATAAAATTTAAAGGTAAAAATATTTATTTTGAATAATTAAAATTGTTCATAAATCAAAATATAAAACTAAAATTCAATTAAGCCAACATTATATATTGCATTCTTCCCTTAAATATACGTAAGTTGCTGCAGCTATCATCAACCAACAATTAGGCGTCATTTCTTCCCATAAATTATTGACTTATGGAAGTTAAGCAACATGGTGCACATATTATAAGCACTAGATAACACTATGTCAAGGTCCTTGTTGCCTTTTGTTCGTCATTTTTAGTATTTTTCTCCGTTTAGGTATTGACCAAGTTAATGCCGTCTTTGCTTTCATCCTTATATTTGAGATCACTTGCTTAAGGTCAATGTTAAAGAAACTGTGTGCATACGGGTCACATTCCACGATAGAGTGAACAGAAAAAGAAATTTATCAACTCACAAAATACGCGATCACATTACACCCATTAGTGTTATCAAACTCAGTCTAAACACAAAGAGTTAAATGCACGGTAAGGGGGAGATCATTCCTTCAAGAAAATAATCAAAATTCAAAGATTAAAAATTAAAGAATAATTGTTATGAAAAACTTGGCAATAATGTCCCAGAAGTTTTAATATATAATGTCAAAGTAATAAATGTTTATAGAAAACTCGACAAGACCTGAACTTAATTAAACTTGTTAAATATTGGACAACTGGTCCAATAATAAGTAACTCTCTTGGCCTGTCCCTGTGCCCTATTAGATTAACCTTGTTACCAAATCGTCACCATGAATTTTAATAAAATTAAACAAACCAATATTGCTCGATCTTGTACTATATTGGCAAATCTTATTTTCCAAAAAATATGAACATATTTTGTACCGGATAGGACACCCTTAAGTAACTAATTATGTTTTAAAATCATGTTTAAGTTTTAAATTAATTAAAACTCCAAACTTAAATAACTTATCCGGAGAACTAATGTTGTCTCTCAAATTGATGGCCAGTGCGAATCTTCTTAAACTGATGACCAATATTGATTAGAATTCAAAGTTCAGACTATTCTAGGATTCTTTCTAATAAATTGGCTTGGCGAGTCCTGTTTTTTGCATGTCATTTTCATCCCCTCCAATTAGTCTCTCCCTAAAAGAAAGAAACAAACAATTAAAGGCCAACAAGGAAAAAAAAAAAAAAAAGAGAAAGTAAGGGTTAAAAAAAAGGAAAAAAGAAAAGGTCCATAAAGACAAAGAAAGGCTCCATTCATTAATCAAACCATATAAGTGCAGGCTTTCTATCATAAAGTGTGGACACATAACCCTTTTCTTAGGAGAGAACTTCACTCAATCCAGGGACTCTCTCTGAAGATTATGGGTTTCATGGAGTGCAATGTAGAGGACAATAAGAATCTATACCTTCATACCCCAACTTTCATTGAGTGGCTCAAACCTTGTCCCTCCCCTTCATATCCAAATTCATTATCATCTTCGTCTTCATCATCATCGTCATCTTCTTCTTTCACTCAGAACGAACTTGTTCAGGAAACTATCCAATTCTTGCCCGTTCTGAGTGAAAAAGCCTCAAAAGATGAAGATCATGGAGTTAAAATGGAGGGTTTTGAGGTGAAGGAAGAAAATATTGAACAAGTAACTGTAGCTTTGCACATTGGATTGCCTCACACTAGAGGAGATGCTGATGTTGATGAGAAGAAGATTTTCCTTGTTAAGGAAGAAGAAGAGTCCTCTAAGAGAAGCTTCCATGGATGCACTTTTAACCAAGAGAGAAGGTTTTGGATACCAACTCCTGCACAGATCCTTGTTGGGCCTATGCAGTTTGCTTGCTCCATATGTAGCAAGACCTTCAATAGGTATAACAACATGCAGGTTAGTATATAATTAATTGCTTCTCAACCTATTCTCACACAATGAAATTCCTCTAGATTTTACTTTGTGTTTGCGCAAAATTAATTAAGTTAATTGATTTATGAAGAAAAGTAGAAAACCACCATAAGAACTAAGGGCCAGGATTAAGGTTTGGAAATAAAAAAGAAAGTTGCAACTGTGAATTATGTTAATTTCTAATTACTATGTTTTTAAAACAAATTTGAAATAAAGATCATAATAATGTTTAGCTCTGTAAAGTCTATTAGTTCCTAATTATGAATAAATTAGAAAATAATTTTTAAAAAAAAGTGAAATACACAAGTTCATTTGAATTAAGTAAAACATTTAATTTATTTTCTTTATTTATATGGGTATTTCTTCAAAAAAAAAAATCTGTCTTCACTAAGAAAGATGGGGGAGCTCTTAACAAATAGATTACCGTCGTAAGGGAAGAGAGATTGCACCGCACGTGCCTCATCTACCTTTAATTTTCTGTCAGGGGAACATAATCATAATAGTTACAATTGTTTTAATTAAAACTGAACATATTAATTAGTTTAATTACGTGATTTCCTTTTCTCTTTTTAGCAATGAGGCTTTTAGATTTATTGTGAGGATGGTATTGTCTCAAAGAATTTGGCACCACATACGACAAACGTAATCGTTTATAGGAACTTGATTGTTAATTTGACCTTAAAAATTGGCCTCAATAATAATAATAATAATAATAATATATCAGGGGGATAAATATCATCTAGCATTTCAATTTTATACATAGATCAGCAACCATAGCACTGGACATCTCCTTTAGCATAGCTAGCTAGGTAGGGTCTAGGTATTCAGAAAAAAAAATTCTTTTCTATGATTAAAGAGTTCTTTCAATTCTATAATTCCTGCAACTATATATCATGTTATTTTAGTTTTGTTTTTCGATTCGCTAATTAGTACTTTAATAATTTTGTTCTTAATTTCAAGACGACTCCAAATTTTTAGTTCTTGTGAGTTTTGCATCCCATCAAAAACTGAACCTACGAACAGAGTCAATGTTTGTCTTATTTTTCCACAACTGCTCCTTTAATTTTGTGTGCATTCCATAGTTTTTTCATAGCTTGTGTATATATACCTAATCTTGAATTTTAATTCCCTATATTTTTTTTCGCGCCAAAATGAAGTAGAGGCTTTACATGATAAATATGATAATGACGATGTTCATCAAGAAGATCGAAAGCAACCATATAATTAATCTTTAGTAACAATGTTTACATGACCATTTGATACTCCTCTTTTATTTTATTTTTTCCACTTTATTTCTTTCTCACTTTAAGAAATTTGAGCTAGATGGCATGTTGTTCCTCTAGCATTCCCTTTACTTTTAATTAAAAAAAAAAAAGCTTATTTTTCATCCCATTACTTTCAAAGAAAAATTGTCATAATATCCATGCATACTTGCATTTCCTTTCCTTGTATTTTTTTCTTTTTTTCTTTATATATATCACAGTAGGTAGGATTCATTACAAGGCCGAAACCAAGGTTAAGAAAGAGAAAACCTTCCAAAAATTTGGATTTTCGTTTTAGCTAATTATTATATTGTAAATTCAGAGAATTTCAGATTTTAATTAGACAGATACCGAGATATATACATTTCACCGTCCCTTGGGGCTAGCTAGCCGTAGCTTTTTGACGATAATTTGACATGCTAGACCCAAGTAAAGATTAACAATTATTTGCAACAATGCCACGGCTAGGCCATGTAAAGGACAATATTTTGGTCAAAAAAAGCAGGCTTGATTATTTTTTAAAACAAAAATTAGTTACATTTTTTGTAATTATTTAGAAAACAAAAGTTTTCTCAAATTAAACAGATTCCTTAGATGTGTCTATTACTACTACTCCTGAACTCAGATTAATTAGACTCTAACATGATTTTTGGACACCAAGAAGAAAAAGGCTAAACAAATTATTCCTAATTTCAAGCAATTAAGATCAATTAGAGACGAGAATGTTTCTAAATAGCTTATACATTTTCCATTTGCAGATGCATATGTGGGGGCACGGATCCGAATATAGGAAAGGACCAGACTCACTTAAAGGAACACAACCAGCAGCAATGCTAAGGTTACCATGTTATTGCTGTGCCGAGGGTTGCAAGAACAACATCAACCATCCAAGAGCTAAGCCATTGAAGGACTTTAGAACACTCCAAACCCACTACAAAAGAAAGCATGGCACAAAGCCATTTATGTGCAGAAAATGTGGGAAAACATTTGCAGTCAAAGGGGATTGGAGGACTCATGAGAAGAACTGTGGCAAGTTATGGTATTGCACTTGTGGCTCAGACTTTAAGCACAAAAGATCCCTTAAAGATCATATTAGATCCTTCGGAAAGGGACATAACCCTCTTCCTCCTTTTAAAGCTTTTGAGGATGAGAAGGAATGCATTACTGGATCAGATGAAGATGAAGTTAATGCTCATACATGATCTCTAAGTTAACATTCTATAACTTTCCTTTAATTATAAAGAGTAGTAGTATCAGTAGTAGTAGTAACTGTAGAAGAACTTGGTCACTACGCTTGTGCTCAGTAACAAAAAATTCTCAACAATTGCTGAGGCATGAACACACAGGGAAAGGTTTGCTACCGAGCACTTGCAGGGTGGTGATAATCTATCAGAGTATTAATAGGGGTTTGGATGATGAGTTTGCTTTGTGGTTAATTAATAAGATGGTTCCTTCAAGGGATGAAGTAGATGAATTTTCTTGTCATAGCAAGAGAGAGTACGTAGGTGTTATATCATGCATGCATGCATGCATGCATGCATATTCAAGTTTTTGTAATCTCTTCAATGGAGAAAATTTATCCGCTTCATTGCTAAATGGTAACCCTCATTCAAGGACTTTAGTATATATGTAAAGTCTTGTTAAAATCTTTGTGACAATTTGATATGAATTTGCTGGTATGGAAAGCCATTGTGTGCCAGACTACTATATGTTTTATGATCATCTTCTATATATACTAAGCAATGCTAAATGTGAAGCCATATTATGCGATTGTTGAGTATATGTCGCGTTATATATTACGCAAGTTCAGTATTTTAAATTTCAAGTACAGTCACAATTACTGCGATTGCAGGACTGTGATTGTATATTGTGATACATGCATACTGCATGTCATTATTGTGGTATAAATTTATTTTATGTTTGTATTTAATGTTTCATCATTGCAGTATAAATTTATTTTAGGCTTGCACGTTATGTAATTTATCATGATTTACCTCCTAAATCTCACATATTCTACTCATTTTTTCTTAAATATAGCTTATCTTTTATCAGTAATTCACTGTTATCTTAATTGTTTTTTATTCTTTAAAATTTTCTCTAAATCTACTAAATGAAAAAAATAAAAAGAAAAACAAATGGAGAATTTTTTTTATAAGAAAATGTTAACAATGCATTTTTATTAATTATTAAAATTCATTAAAAATTACAAAAATTATTTAAGTCTTATTATTAATCATTTTCATTCATATTTTTATAAATTTTAATCTATAACTAAGAATGTAATCAATAATCTTTTAAAAATTATGTTCTTAACAAAGAATATAAACATGATAAGATTATATTAATAATATGATATATTATATCATTACGTAATTTTGCTAGTTTATATATTGATATATATTATTAATATATTAAATATCAACAAAATTTATTATTTATTAGTATAATTTTTTAAAAATTATATAAACTGTTTATTTTTTATCAAACATAAATTATATTTGCAAAATCATGTATTAGTAAATAGAAAATTTTTAAAATGTCTTTAATGTTTACTGAGGTCCAATGCAACTTTTACGGTCTGAAACAGTAATTACATCTATTAAGTTATTGTAGTGTTATATATTGTAATTTCTTTTGTGCGATATTTAAATAGGCATATAATGCATTTGACCATAAATATATCACGGTCACATCATACAATTAATGTAATATATAATTTGAAACAGTGCATAAATTTAGTAAGCTTTATACATGCATGTTATCAATTTATGGCAGTGACTTAATAGTTTGCATGTTATTTATTTATTGTATGTTTCCTGTCCATGCATGTTAACCAAGTCTAAATTCGTAATTTGAGAAGGAAAAAAGACTAGAAAGGAACAATGTTAACTACACACATTTATGTATATCCACATCGAATCGTATCTACAGAATTTTTATTATCACATTATATATAAACAATTTATTATATAATACACACATATTCTGATTCTGATAATTATATATGCAGATGTAAAGATGTGAAACATAATAGAAAAGTACGTACCAGCCATTTTCGGTAAAAGAATCATTCATTTATGCAGAAGGTAACATCATCCTGATCCATAATAGATTTTTACAATGTTTGCAACTTTATTAGGAGAGTAATTATTAACTGTTGCTCATTTTAGAAACAATCAGAAGTGCTTATCAATAATGCACAATCTTTTTCACATAGCGCTTCCCTTTACCCCAACTAATTTACGAGAAGGTAACTTCTTTTTATAAAAAAAAAAGTAATATACTTGCTCTATTTTAAGGACATTTAGAATTTGAGAGTTTAATTAAGAGGGCATTATCTACCAAACCATCCACTGATATGTCTGACTACGTTAATTAGAAGTAATTAATTAATGTGATTTTTGGTCTCTTTCTTAATTATGCGCATATATGTTTGACAAAAAGATTTAAAAAAATTATAAGGGTCTCTTATTCTTTTGTATTCATATAGAGTTCTTTAATACACGTGAGAAAGATGATTAAAGGGATTAAAATAGAGTTTGTGATTTGAGTTTTTTTGAGGTAGGCTTGACCAAAGCAAAAAGTAGTTAAAAAAAATTGGAAAAATGTATATTTGGTTCTTGAAGATAAGGGACCTCCACTAAGCTTTGTCGGGGGTAAGAAAACGTTGGAGATGGGAAAGATCACAATCACTATCCTCAGCTGCATTATTAATTTGCTAAGTAGCTATATGCTTTCATATTTAAAAGTTACACTTTTGCTGTGGGTAGCCTTCTCTTTGTGACTCTTGCTAGTTAGGTTAACTTAATCTGAATATTGTCCATGGCAATATACTCAGCAATCAAAGTATCTATCCCATCCAAATTTTGTCTCACTACTAGTCAGTTTTAATAGTAGGTTTAGATTTTTATCTATACTTTAATAGTTTTTAGTTAATACCTAAGAGGAAATTATATAATTTACTTGTAATTACTTTTAATTAATGATATTTTTTAAAAATATATTATTCTTTTTTTCCTTTCTTGAAATGTTTGGATTGTGTTGCCATATTTTTTTGCTTTAAAAATTGCATTCCCCGATTTCCTTAAGAAATTAATGTGTAGGAAAATCAATTTATATTGGTATAAACAGATTTTTCAGGAGCAATTTTTTTTTGTTATGATTCTAAGCATTATTAATAATTACTTCATATTTTTAGAAATCTATTTGAAGAAAATATTTATTATATTAAAATTTATTTTATATTTTATTTTTAATATTAAAATTATTTGATATTAAAAATATTTTCTTTTTCAATAATTAAAACTATTTAATTAGGTATTATAAATATTTCTTAACTAATACTTTTATGGTACTCACTGCCAGAATCCTTAAATTAAAATTTACTTTTCAAGTACTATATTGATTGATTTTTAAGATTTTAAAATTATCAACTTGTATAAATTATTGAACTTCATATCGATTGATTCTCATACTTGATCATTGGGTCAAAAGAGGTAAATGTCAACGGGTAATATTAGGACCTGTTTCCTTTATAGAAACGTTTTTTCTTTTTTTACTTTTGATTATATAATTTGTATATTATTTTTTAAAAATTTTACAGAAAACAATAAAAAAAACTAGAGGAGAGAGCATAAAAAAATTAATTTTTTTCGGTGATTAGTAATTTTTTTTAAAATTGACCAGTTTATAAAACAAATATTTATATTTTAAAAAATAATTAATTATAAAAATTATGTTAAAAAGTGTACGCTGTTGGCATTTTTCAAAAGTGATATACCAGTAAGCGACAACAACTCATTCTGCATCTTTTACGAATGTAGGATTCGAACTAACCAGCAATATTTTACAGAAATTTGTAGCTAAGAAATAAACCACTTTATTTGGGGGGGGGGGGGGGGGGAGAGGAAAGAAGAAGAAAAAGAGAGGAATGCTATTTTTATTCTATATTTTTTTTATCTTTCTTAATTAACAAATTATTGTAAAAAAAATTATGAAACTAAGATCATTTTATTTTTACATATCTTGCTTCCTGTGACCAATTCCTACATATTCATCATTAAGTTCAGCCTTTAATAGGTGTCTCTTTAGCACATAGTGCAAAAAATGTTACAAATCCACATTTGCTAGAAGACACACAATGCCGAATATCTATACCGACAGATGCTCAATTGAAAATCTAAGCTCAACTGCGTGCTTGACTTGACTTTTGTCTTCACATAAACTTACCCTTTTTTTTTCAATCCATGAAACTGAATATCAACTAGTTTATCTTTTGGGAAAAGAAAGAAAAAAATTGTTATCTTCTTTCTCGAATAAATTGCACCGTTTTATGACACCAATCCAACCGAATGGTGCATGCAAGGTTGAACGGAATGAGATAAAGGATGTGAACAAAAGAATAATTGATAATATGGTATTCCCACTTGTCACCATTGTAAGGCCTTAAAATATACATAGTTAGCCACGTGTCAAGAACTATGCAAATGTTAGCAAACGTGGCATATTGTGGTGGCGACAAGAAAAATTGTGAGAACTGAGAACTTCATGTACGTGGCAGTTCAGGGCTGTTGTTGTTTCAGCTCCAACCTATGATCATGTGAAGTTGTTCAGAGAATCAAAGCTTATTTAGTGCACACCATATCCAAGTCCTGAAACTCTAAACTACATGCTTGGCTTTTGCTTATTGTATAGTTGTTGAAAGCTCTTGCATAAGTTGGATTAAACACCAACATGAAGGTTTGTTTTTTGTTTTAAGTGTAGTTGACATTTACCTCTAAAGGGTTTTTTCTTCCCATGTTGTCAACTTGTTAAGATCATTTGATCAAAGGGTTTTGTTTTGAGTTTGTTGTCTTGTTAGTGGTGTGGTTTTTGTTTAGTTTGAGGAGTTAAGGTGTTTTTGGAAATTTTGAAGGTTCATGAAACGAGGTCACATGTTCATGCACCTGGGGAGGAAGAGAAGGTGATGACAAGGAAGCAGAAGGCAGAGTCCAAGGCACATGAGGTGGAGCATTCTCCTAAGAAGGCCAAGGTGGAGAAGGAGGACGGTCACACCAATGGAAAATCTGAAATTGATATTGCGGAAGAATATGATGAGTTCTGTAAAGCCACAAATGAGCACCTTCCTTTGGAACAAATGAGAGAAATTCTAGAGGCTAATGAAATTGATTCTTCTGGTTCTGATCTTGAAATTACACGAAGATGGTTGGTTTTGGTTAGATTAAGCAATTTGCAACTGATTTTGTTTTACTCAACCAAAATGTTCCAAAGTGGATTTTTAGTGTTAAGTGATTCAATTACCAATACCATTTTCTTGAACAGCCAAGACTTGCTGTTTTATGGTGCATTGGACAAATGCTCGGTTTGCAATGGGAGTTTGGAGTTTGATGGCAGACGTTATGTTTGTAGAGGGTTCTACAGTGAGTGGGCTAGTTGCACTTTCAGCACAAGAAACCCCCCAAGGAAACAAGATCCTATTAAGTTACCTGATTCAGTCCAGAACTCCCTGGTTTCAGATGTGATCTCCTCCCTATTTTTTATGTTTTGTTTTTCATTCGTTGTGTATAGCATTGTCGTTACTTGTTACCTAAGATTTTGTCTTTTTTGTTGTTTGTTTTGTTTATATATTTGTTGGCTTGTTTCCTTTGGGTGTGCCATAGTTGCTAAAGAAATATCAGGACCCAAGTAGTAGGCTTCACATGGATTTAGGCTCAGCTGAAAAACCTTTTACAGGAATGATGATATCTTTGATGGGTCGTCTTAATCGGACACATGTATGCACCACTGTTACTGTTGTTGCTGTTGTAGTAATAACTAGCTTCCCTTTTGTCTTTTAGCATATTCTGAATTCTATTGACTGGATTTTCTGTTTGGCTACTTAGCATTATTGGAAAACAACTATTGAAAAGCATGGAGGGAAGGTCGCAAACTCTATAATTGGTAATGTGATAGTTGCATTCCCATATGTGATAAACAGTTGGTTTTATTCTCCTTTTGTTGCTGGGAATTGCCATAACCTCGCTTGATAAATTTTTCAGGGGCAACTTGTTTGGTGGCTTCACCTGCTGAGCGAGAACGTGGCGGCACATCCAAACTTGCAGAAGCCATGTGAGTTTAGAGAAAACTTTTTGTTTAGGCAACATTATTGCTTTGTGTTACTCCTTCTGAGTATGATAAGCTAGCCATCTCTGGGTTGTTTGGTTCCATGTCATGAACATTGTGAGCAGTAAAACTTTTGGCAGAACTTTTGGCACTTCTGTGCAAGGCCACCCTTAGATTGCCTTAAAATAAATGATCATGTAAATAAAATGCATATAATAAACACTTAGCTTGTAAAATGGGTAATTTGCCACTTCAATATTAAGATAATAAGCATTCCTAGTTAACTACTAAGGTATTTTAACTGTAGGGAGCGGGGTATACCAGTTGTTAGGGAAGCTTGGTTGATTGAAAGCATTGAAAAGCAAGAACCACAGCCGTTGGAAGCCTATGATCTTGTCTCTGATCTTTCTGTGGATGGCAAGGGAATCCCCTGGGACAAACAAGATCCTGGGGAGGAGGCTATTGAATCACTCTCAACGGAAGTACATAGTTTACTCCTTCATACTTCTATTTCTTTTATTTTAAGAAAATGATAAAGAACCCAACGTGGAACTTAATTTTATTTTATTAAATATGATCTGTGTGGTAACAGCTCAAGCTTTATGGAAAGAGAGGGGTATACAAAGACACCAAGTTGCAGGAAAAGGGAGGAAAGATATTTGAAAAAGATGGACTATTGTACAACTGTGCCTTCTCTATTTGTGACCAAGGACGAGGACTGAATGAGTAATATTATGTAGACCAATTGCACTTTTAGTCCATATAAACATTTATAAGACAACTGTACCTAATTAGTGGTGTTAATTTGGGGCAGCTACTGTGTCATGCAACTGATTCAAGTCCCAGATAATCGTTTGCATCTGTACTTTAAGAAAGGGAGAGTTGGAGATGATCCAAATGCAGAAGAACGGTTAGAAGAGTGGGACAATGTGGACAGTGCTCTGAAAGAATTTGTGAAGCTCTTCGAGGAAATAACAGGAAATGAATTTGAACCTTGGGAAAAAGAGAAGGAGTTCCAGAAGAAGCCCTTGAAGTTTTATCCCATTGACATGGTACATCACATGTCTTTTCCCTTTCCTAAATGATTAATGATTTGTCCACGACACCATTTAGATGACACAGTACTATGAAATTGCGTAGGATGATGGAGTGGAAGTTAGACATGGGGCACTGGGTCTTCGGCAGCTGGGGATAGCAGTAACACACTGCAAACTTCAGCCTCTGGTAGCGAATTTTATGAAGGTTTTGTGTAGCCAAGAGATATATAAGTAAGGATTATAAATGAACACTACAATATATGATGAGTTTACTTTTTAAGTTTCAAAATAACATGCATTAATTCAGGTATGCTTTGATGGAGATGGGATATGACTCTCCGGATCTTCCAATAGGAATGGTTACAAATCTTCACTTGGAAAGATGTACGTGCATGGGCAACACTTCTTTTTCCTATTTCTCAAATGTCCTTCAGAAACACTGACACATAGAACCTTATCAGGTGAGGAAGTTCTCTTAGAATTCATAGACAAGGTGAAATCATTGAAAGAAACTGGGCCAAAGGCTGAGGCTGTTTGGACAGATTTTAGCCAAAGATGGTTCACTCTTATGCACTCCACAAGGCCCTTCAACTTTCGAGATTATCAGGAGATTGCAGATCATGTAAGCCCAATTAGTCACCACTCACCACCTTAATTGACCAAAAACGATCGCTTATTTTAAATAATGAGTCGACTCCTAATTTTCCTAGGCTGCTGCTGCATTGGAGAGTGTAAGAGACATAAACCTGGCTTCTCACCTCATAGGAGATATGAGTGGTTCCACCATTGATGACCCATTATCAGGAACACACAAGAAATTGGGTTGCTCAATTTCTCCCTTGGACAAAAATTCAAATGATTACGGGATGATTGTGAAATACCTTGAAAAAACTTATGAACCTGTCAAAGGTGACATTGTAAGTTAAGAAATTTTCTTTTCGTGTTGTGTACAACACGAACCATGCACATAACTTCCTAAGTGTTTCAGGATTACGGGGTGTCTGTGGAAAACATTTTTGCTGTGGAACCGAGTGCATGCCCTTCCTATGACGAAATAGTAAAGCTGCCAAATAAGGTTCTTCTATGGTGTGGTAAGACACGATATAATTTGGTTCAAATTTAAAGTGAAAAGAACTACTCTTGTGTGATTAGCTTTCTGATCACACACATTATATGATGCAAGGATCGCGAAGCTCAAATCTTTTGAGGCACTTGCACAAGGGGTTCTTGCCAGCAATATGCTCACTCCCAGTTCCGGGTTACATGGTATTTATAAATACAAATGGTAGCTATTCAATTCTAATGTTTGTGAGCATTTATTCATCCCTTGTAATGGGCTTTTCACGACAGTTTGGCAAAGCTATTGTTTGTTCCGATGCTGCAGCAGAGGCCGCAAGATATGGTTTCACAGCTGTGGACAGGCCAGAAGGGTTCTTGGTTTTGGCCATTGCGTCACTAGGAAATGAGATCACCGAGTTGAAAAGCCCACCTGAGGTATTTATCCAAAATGCACTTTTACCTTTTTGGCTTTCACTCTCAGAATTGCTATTCATCTGTTTTCAAAATGATTGACTTAGGACACGTCATCTTTGGAGGAAAAGAAGCTTGGAGTAAAGGGATTAGGGAAGAAGAAAACAGATGAATCAGAGCATTTTGTTTGGAAAGATGACATAAAAGTTCCTTCTGGTAAACTAGTTGCCTCAGATCATCAAGATAGCCCCCTGGAGTACAATGAGTATGCTGTCTATGATCCTAAGCAGGTACAACCCATTTTTCTCAGTGTAATCTAGATTGAATTAAGTATAAACCAAAATTTCAATCTAGAAAACACTTATATTACTCTCGGATATGTGCACTTTTGTTTACAGGTACGCATAAGCTACTTGGTGGGAGTGAAGTATGAAGAGAAGGGCGTGGTGGTGGACACAGCTGAGTGATGAATGAGTTGAAAGCTATGTGACCCGGTGACCACCATGTCTGAAGCTGTCTAGTGGCTTCTCTAGTTAGTGAAGATATTTTACCATTTTGAATCATACGTGTAACCGAATAGGCTTTATGTGGGGCATTTTGATGTATATATAGGTCAACGGACAGTAACTTAGTAAATATTTTGTCCTACTCATACAGTAAAAGTGAGTGCAACTATATCTAACACTATGCAGTTATGCTGTTAAGTTTCGTTGACTGCTCTTTAAGTCAGTATGAATGGAAAGACGAGTAAAAGAAATGGCGTAATGATGATGTCTTTCTTTTTGGAGACTCGTGTGTAAGCTTCCTCTGAAACCTATTGATTTTCTTTCCATTCCGTATTCAACTTAAAATTTTCCTTTGTGATAACAATTATGATCAAGAAAAGGGGTCTTACCTATAAAGCTGTATGGAGTCATAAGAAAAACATGAAAATCCTTTGATGTTAATATCTCCGAATAGTAATTCGCCAAATATAGTAACGTCGATGAAACGTATCATAATAGAATGCATCCCTTATGGCAAGACACCCTGCATATTTAAATGGAAGAAGCGTGTTATAAGCTACAAAACAAGAGCATCTCCATCAACAAAAGAGAAAATAACGGACTGCATACCCCACCTCAAGCCTTAAAACTAGCGTGGAAACTAAATTGTTCACTGTAGGTCAACGGACAAAACGTACATAAGATAATGTTTGTCTTTGTTACTTAAGATGCCCTTTAACTGGTTAACGGGAAGAAGGTGATGTTTATTACTTAGATGCTCGGCATATTAAAGACTAATCATTTGATTCAATAGTTAACACACAATATCAATATGGTTAGGAAGTCGTAATAGCTTGTGAACAAAATTGCCTAACTAAAGTGAATCCGAGGAAAGAGTCTAGAATATACACAAATCACAAACGGACATGCTTAATCATTAAAGTGTAAAAGCTGTATTCCATCTAACCAAAATTTACACTTGGATGGTGCCTTGAGGCTTCATGTGGGACAAGTACACAAAGTTGAAAATACAAAAACGAATCTTGAATCAGTATTTTGCTTTAAACTATATGTGCATTTCACGAGTACTACAATAAGAGAACAATTCAGACGTGACAAGATGGCAACAAAAAAATCAACCCTTCCACCACTCTCACAGTTCAGTATCATTGATACATCTTAACAGGAGGAATCTTGAACTTATCAGAGAGAAATGGGATAGGCTTGTATCCATCAACAAGGTCACGGTAAAACGCATATTCAGCCTCATAATCATGCAAATGAAGCTCAGCTTTCTGGTTAGTGTGATAATGATGCTTAGCAGAAGCTGATTTCCCAAACCCAAAAATGCTAACTTTCTCACAAATTCCCAAAGCCAACATCACAGCTTGCATCCCAGAAGAGTAATGGAAAAGAGCACCATCATGGGCAGAACCCCATTGGTCCAAACCCTTCCCCGTCTCCTCCACAAACCTCTTCAAAGAATAGTACTTAACAATCCTAGCACACAACACATCGAACCTAGGATCAGTAACCAACAATGGGGCCTTGTGGGAAGCATTACACACAGTGTAATCCAAGAAATGCACAGCTTGGCAAATGTACATAACAATTGGAACACGATCACCATAAGGGTGACAAAAACACCCTGCTCTTCTTGCACACAAATGCAAAATGTTACTATTCACAAAAGAAACACTAGTTTTCTTCCCAACCTTGTTCTCAAAGTGATCAACCCTAGCATTGTTCAACCTTATAACAAACTCGTGTGCATCAATCACACTACCATAATCCCTATTCAGCAAAATTCCACTGTTCCCAACAACAGCACATGAAGAGTACTTTTTGTCATGACTCAACAACACTTTGTTATGTTGATCAATTGGTACCTTTATTGACCGAGTCAACTCGGTCATGATCCCGGGTTGGAATCGGCGCTTCCGAGCCCAATCGTGGAGAAGCTTCCGGAAGTCCAACCAGTACCGGTAGAACAGCGGTGACCGGAGCGTCGCCGGAAGGTGAACGTTGGCGCCGGTGACACTCCGGTCGTCATGGTGGATGAAGCGCCGCCACGACACGAAGGTGCGGTGGCGCGCGTGGCTACCGAAGTTACCGTCGAGAAGCTGCTGAATCTCTAGCCGGAGCTTCTCCTCGCCGATTTCGACGGCGGCGTGTTTGAGGAGCGTGGCGTTGAGCGGCGGCGGGGACGGCGGATCTCGGAGGCGAAAGCGAGTTTCGAGCTCGATGGAGAGAATGCCACGGCGAACCATGGCGCGTGAGGTGAGCGTGGCGACGAAGACAAGGAGAAGGAGAAGAGCGAAGAGAGGGCGAACGGTGCGTTTCATTGGGAAAGGATTCTTGAGGGAACAATTCGCTAAATGTGGAAACGAATCGATGGGTTTGAGGGTTTCAATTTCAGATCCATCTTTTTCTTCGGAAACCTTAGGCATGGATGAAGAAGAAGTTGCTTTCGAGGAAGCTGAGTGTTAATGTGAATGTGAATGTGAATGCTGTGATTCGCATAGGGAATGTGGAAGTTGAATCTGGGTTTGGGTCAAAAAGTGATTTTTTCTCATGATTAAGGGAGAATGAGAAGACTTGAATAGAACCCTAGAAAGTGGAAATGACCCTTCAAGCACTGAAATAGTTGAGAAGGGTGCATAAGAAAAGGATGAATAATTTGCTGTAGTGGCAGATACTGAACATTTTGTGAGTAAGAGATTGAAATTTATGATAGTTTCTTGTTTGGGACCATTAGAGGTATGGAATGGATGATAGCGTGAGGAAATGAGAGGTTGGAAGTGGTGGATGAACCAAAACAGAACCCTAATGGGAATCTAGATTCTTAAGGGAATAAAATGTGTGTGGGGAATGCAAATTGCAAGGAATTAGAAGGAGAAATGTTGTTGTGAAAGCACATTAAAGAGGCATTGTTGTGGGTCCTTAACAGGGGTAGCTATGGTGAGTGTGTGGGGTAAGGGCACTAGTTGGAGATGGGAATGACAGTGTGCTTTGTAAGGGAGTGATGATGCAGAAAGAGGGATTCGAAGTGGGGTCCATGTGCTCAGTTTAGAGCTACATTAATCATTGATGATGATAGATCTACCATCCCTGGTTTATATAGATCTTCATCTGCAGATGAATGTTAATGTGAATGTGAGTTATGAAATTTATGAGAGAGAATGAGGTATCTTTATTTCTAATTTTGAAGATCTTGCAACAAAAAAGAAGCATTTTTTCTCAATTAACCAGCCATGATGTCATGCAATGTTTTAACAATTAGAATCAATAGATAATAAAAGAGCTTGACTTTACTGCTACGCTTTGACAAAAGCAATGTTCATTGAAGGTTAAGGTCCAACTGCCTAAGATGAGTTTACTATTTCGATTTTCTACACTATTTTTTAAAATATTTTCTTCCATTTATTTAAAAAGTGCATCACAGGAGAGGAGATCTCAGATTGAGAATGCTAACACAAAATCAAACTAAATACCTATCTTCGTGACATGTTGTTTGAAGGGACTAAAAGTTTTTAAAATTTTGTTTTTAAATATAATTTTAGATGTTTAAAATTTGTCTTAAAATTTAATATTTCCATTTTTTTAATAAATTATTATGCACTGAATTTTTTTTAAAAATATCTCTTCTAAAAATTTTTTGAATACACAACAATTAAACATTTGTTTAATAAGTTTTTTTTAATAAAAGTTTACAATAATATAATTTAATCATAAACTTTATAAAACTAAAATTTTGATCAACTATACCAAGAAATTTGTTAAAATAAGATTAAAACGATTTATAAGAGTTGAGTTATTTCATAAATTGTGTATAGTTTACGAATACAAAAGCGAAAATGTGATAAAGGAAAAATTAATGGTTTTTGAAGATGATTCAAGGAGGTTAGAGCCTGTTTGTGTGCTTTTGAAATGGAATTCTGTAGAAATTAAAATATTATACTTTTAAAAGAATATAGTGTTAAAATGCGATTTGTCATTTCAATAGGTGCATGCGATACACATTAATCTAATTTTTAATATATTTTAAATAAATACTAAATATGTAATTTCTATTTATGTACTTATCCAAACAAGTTCTTAATCCATTGTCCAAAATGGAGTTATAAAAATAAACTTGAACTTGAATTATCTTTTAACAAGTTAGTGGGTTAGGCTGCTCAATAATAAATAAAAAAATAAATTAAAAAAAATAGCAGCATTCAAAGCACAATAGTGGCAAGTAACAAATGTTGGAATGTTGACTTTGGTGGATGTTTGGATCTTAGATGCCAATGAGAGTTGATTGTTAGCCACAACACTTTACTTTTTAGTATAATTGGTTTAAAATTGAATAAGTCTTCTTCTTCTTTTTTACAATGGGTAAGTTTTGTGAAAGGAAAAAAAAATTTTAATTTTATCAAAATAAGGTTTCAATTACTATATAAATCAGTCTTAAAAAAATTTTAAATGAAATTGATTTCGTAATGTTAAAGAGTTTATTTGTATTATTAATGTAGAAAAAGCTTTCATTAAATGTCCAGAAAGCATATTCTTATAACATTAGTCACATGCTTATGTAATGAGAATCATAATACAACAATGATGATCCAAACAAATACTAAATAAAATTAATATCATTAATTTAAATGATATATTTTTTTAAAATGTACATTTATTTTATTAAAAAAGCATATAAATTAAATTTAACTAAACACGAGATATAAACATGATGCTATTATTAGATATTAGTTGATTTGAGACAAATGATGATGACGATACAAAAGGCGTACAAATTTAATTTTTTAGGTTTTAATTTATTTGAATTAACCATATATTTCATTAGATGTGTTCCATTAGTGAAACTTTATATGGTGTAAACTATATAAAACACGTTACAAAATGTATGTGTTTAAAAGGGTCATTTTTTAATTATGATTTTTTAAAAAATAAAATTACAAAAATATGACTTTTTTTACAAAATTATGTAAATATGGTATATATAAAAAATTTTAATGACGATTTTAAGAGAAAAAACAAAATCTAATAAAATAAACTCATCATTAGCGATTTTATAACACAAAAAAATAAAATTTGACAAAGTAAAATTGTCATTAACGAGTTTAGAGAAAAAAAAAGTAAATATGACTGGTAAAAATTACCGGTGACAATTTTATATTGTCGAAAAAAATTTCACTTTTTTAAACTCACCAATGACAACTTTTGACCAATGTAAATTTTTTTAAAATGTTATAAAACATTTTTGACGATTTTTAATTGGTGAGACTATAAATACTAAAATCTTCGTTCATTGCAATTCATCCCTACAACCATTTAAAGTTTTTAGAGAGTGTGTGTGAAGCTTGTGTGTTTATGAAAAGAAAAAATGAGTGTGTTTGCTATAATTTATCATAACAGTGAGATTATATTAAATACAAGTGAAGGTGTGTCATTTGCATGCGAGAAGCCAACATGTGTGTATATTCTATATAATGTATCATTTGAAGATTTAAAGTGTTAGTTTTGTCAATATATTCATGAAGTTCTGTTTCCAAAAATAGTGAAAAGTGTTATGTATCGATGTCTAGTGTCGATATTTGACAGTTTTATGTAATATCATTCAATTCCAATAACCAACAATAATGATGTTCAACAAATGTTTCAGATACATCAACAACGTCATCCTCTAAGTGATACGATTAAGTTGTATGTTGTTTTCAAAAGTAATGAGGTTCAAGAAGAATTTGTCATGCTATTAGAGAACAACAGCGAAAGTGATGACTATGACTTTGAAGGATATTATCAAAGTGATGAGAAAAGCGATGAGGATCTTAATGAAAATGAGCCCCATATGGGTGGGCAACATCCTTTTGGCGAGCCACCTTTCATATGTGAATTAGATCTTGATGCTATAAATATTTCTGAGTTTTCAGAGTACGCAAACTTAAGTATGTGAAATTTATAATAATGTTAGTAAGATTAATTTTAATTTTGTTAATTAGTTTATATTCGCTATTGGTAGATAACACAGAGATAGATGGTGAACTGTATGTTGGAAGACAATTCAATAACAAAGAAGCTGTTATAAAAACAGTAAAGCATTACAGTATGTTAAAAGGAGTAGACTACAAAGTCTTAGAGTCAGAACCAAATACTTTTTATTACAAATGTGTAAGATATGACTTAGATTGCAGGTGAATTTTTTGAGCTAGTTTCAGGAATAATGAGTATTTTTGAAAAATCCAAAAATATAATAGTCCACACACTTATATTATTAGAATCATTTCTCAAGATCATAAAAAGTTAGATACAGACACAATTGCAGAATGTATAAAGCCAATGGTAGAATCTAATCCTTCTTTTAAAATCAAAGTAGAGATTGGAGAAATTCAATCTCAATCTGGGTACATGATAAGTTATCAGAAAGCTTGAATGATAAAACAAAAGGCAATTTAAAAAAGTATTTGGTCAATAGGAAGCCTCATCTGAAGCTTTGCCGCAATGGTGCATAGCAATGTGTGATGTTGTTCGAGGATTTGTTGTGAAATTAGATTGCTGCAGAGGATTATCGCAATGATGAAATGGTTTCCAATATTCGAATACCACGACGAGTGTTTTGGAGTTTTGGTCTTTACATTAGAGCATTTCAATATTGTAAGCCACTTACGTAGGTTGATGGGACTCACTTATATGGCAAATGCAAGGGAATTCTACTAGTGGCTATTGCACAAGATGAAAATCAGAATATATTGACGATTGCATTAGCTGTTGTTGAGGGTAAGACAATAGATAGTTGGAGTTTTTTTCTTGAAAATTTACAAAAATATGTTGTTACCAAAGATAGTGTTGGCATAATTTCTAATTGTCACGAGTCAATTATAGCAGCGATAAGAAGAAGTAATGGTCATTGGGAACTTCTAAGAGTATTCCACATATATTGTATCAGGCACATTGCTGCAAATTTTTTATGAAAATTTAAGGCTCCCAACTTACATAAATTTGTTGTTCGTATGGGTAATTAACCTCATTTTTGTATTTAAAGTAATATAATATACTTGTTTTTAGATAACATTATTTATGCTTATGAAATTTGAATTTGTTAGTTACATGTTACTCAAGAACCAAGCATGAATTTAATATTTATTATGAGCAAATACAGGAGCATGGACAAATTTAAATAGACTAACTTAATGAAATTCCACGAAAAAAATGGGTTTTAGCATTTGATAGCAAACATCGATAGGGTCATATGACGACAAATCTCGATGAATGCATTAATTTTGTATTGAAAGGTGCCTGTAATTTGTTAACTTATTTGGTTATGTTAATTTACTATTACATGACCATTTACATTTTAGCAACTTATATTTAAATTTAAACACAGTGACAATAATAAGATTTAGTAAAATCAATAATAACTTAATGACAAGTACAGACACCACCGATACAGAAATTACTAATCACTTAATGACAAATACAGACACCATTGATAAATTTAATTACTATCGTTCTTTTCCCCTTTTTTTTTAGCAACGAAGAACTATATCTATCAGGAAGATGTGTAAAGGGACGTAACATGCGAAAAAAAAAATCTCTTTCATCTTTCTGGTTGACTTGCATCCTCTTGAATATCTATATCCTCATTTGTTGCATCCCTATTTGCTTAGGGTTCTGGCTCTTATACATTTTGTGATGGTTGGGTATTTGTGTATTCTTGAAGTGTAAAATCCCATGAGCTAATAGGCATAAACCATTGCCTAGGTAAAGTATCATACACTGGTTCTAGTCAATACACATTCTCTTCATGTACAGAAACAGCTTCCCTAATTGGTTCTTCATTTAAATCAAAGTTTGGGGCCAGATTGCTTTGGGAAGGTGAAGCTGAATCTATTACAAAATCATATGTTAAAATAAACCTATGAGAAATCCATTGGTACTACTACAATCAACTTACCTTTAACTTCTTTCCTACTTGCTTGTTCCACCATATCCAACATCTGCCCTACCTACATAGATACGTCCTTGTTGTGGTTGTGGTGATTGTTCATCTCATTCAAAAGGTTGTCACTCATTCCTTTCATGTGACCAATAATACTCTTGATTTGGTTGTATAGAAGCTGATGTAATATCTTCTGGCTGGA